GTTGGTGGCGCGGCAAACCTGAGCACGTTAGCTTTGCAGAAACTCACAAAGGCCATCGACTTATTGGAGGATGAAGATGTGAAGAGTGGAACGATCTGGTCGAACTACGGATCACGCGCATTGCGGACCCGTTGGGCTTTGCAGCGCGCCAGAGACGGACACTCGGTGCAGCAGATCAAAGATAGAAAGTGGATCGCCAACTTGCTGCATGAGGCTCTACTCTTACCACGCCAGGGCTACAAAGGAGTGATTACGCTCAAGCGTGGCGACACCTGCAGTCTCATAGCGTGGCCAGTGGCAGGCCTCGTTGTTGCGTTTGCGATGGAACCCTGCCGACAAACGCCTGGGAAGTGGTTGCTTCGTTCTGGCTCTGCTGATGCATCACGATGGGAGCCTGTGGTCACGGATCTCGTCAATGCGGAGCTGAACCGTGGACCCTTCGACCTCGAGTTCAGCGAGGAAGGCGTCTGGTTCACCGAGAAGGGCGCAGACTTTGACACCAAAGACATGTTGCTTGAGCGGTGCCGTGGGATGAGTGCCGAGCAGCAGCAGCGCCTGTTGCTGACGATTAGTCCATCATTCCAACATCTAGCATTAGATCTTCCGCTTGCCGCATACAGGGTACTCGTCCGGTACTTCATAGTAGACGCTCCGCCGGAAGGTCGAACCATCAGCGCAGCAGGTGTGAGGCTGGTCAACAAGCGGTCCAGGAGAAATGGCGCTTTTGCGAATTTGGAGGAGGTCATGTGGGAAGTGCCGAAATCCAGTGGACCTAATCCAAAACGAGCTCGTCAAGACGATGCTGGAGCGGCAAATGCGCAAGCAGCTGCTGCGGCAGACATTTTCGCAGAGGAAGATGCAGCAGAAGCAGAGCTCGAGGAGATCAGGGCCAGGACTGAACTTGGTCGACAAGCTGCTGCGTATGTTGGTGCCATATCATGCAAGGGCTGCGGAGCCTCTCTTGCTACCTACCGCAGCCACCTCAGACGCACTAAAGGTGTCGAATGCACAAAAGTGAAGCTAATCTACGACGACTCGGTGGAGCGACCTCTCAAGAATGGCGTAAATCCAGTGCGGACGATGAGCGGCCAGGCAATCGAGCCTTTCATTCGTGAGCAATTCATGGAGCATAATCTCAAGGAAAACCATACATGTGACGTAAATCCATTTGACATCGATATTTGCCCAGAAGTGGCAGGGGTCCGCGACCTCTAGTTAGCATGAGCATAAACCCTCCCCAGCATAGTACATCTTGAAACAAGAGCCCCTACATGTAATCCGTGCTTTCTGTATATTTATCATCATAGTACTCACGTAATTCCATAACCTATGTAGTCATCGTCTTGCACTGGCATCCCACTAGGTGCATGCCTCAAATATGTCACAGCTATAGCATAGCTTGAGCTGATCCCCCAGGTTATTGTCATTGATATCAGCACTCGCGTACTCTGCAAAGATATGTAAAGTTGCTACCATAAAAATTAGTTTCAGTCCAGTTCGGCAGTGCCCGAGTGTATAATCGCCCAAGTCTATGGCGTATGAAATTATCTATTGCTGAAAAATTTAACTGCTAAATCTATGCCCAAGTTTCTGTCTAGTACCAAGTAGAAAGTATACAAAGAGTTCAAGAGCAATTTCACAGAATGAAAGTTTCCGAAGTCGATAGCAAGATCTTTCGTCCATTCCAATGAGCTGATCTGATCAACATAGAAGTCCCTGAATGTGTACGCAATCGAAAGAAGGTCCGCCTGGAATGTCATGAGCTAAAAGCACAGCCCACTGCAACAGATTCCCTCGCCACTACGTCACTTGGCTCGATCCCCAATGCTTCACATTTGTCGTTAGAAAAAGGTGATCATGCTGAAGGGTTTCCATAGTTAGCAAGGAAGCAGCGCCATTTCTCTGCAGCTCTCACTGTACACACTCAGGCAAGAAAGTCGAAGGGCGTGCTACTTATATTCTGACGCTCGTTTGGTTCATCGTAGAGTAGAGAAGCCTGGGGGCCCAGCTAAGTAGAGCACTTCGACAGGGTCTCGGCTCTGGCTCTGATGTCAATTATGGGACCCAGACTCTCCCTCTCTAGGTAAAGCTAGAAGTGCAAAAGGTGGTCGTGAACTTTGTGTGAGGTTGTCCAACGAATTCCATAGTTAGAAGAGATGGAAATCCATAATGCAAAAGAATGGCAGCATGGTCGCAGAGCTTGTCCTCCTCTCCTTCTCACCGGACGGCGCTATCGCAATTGGCCTAAGGCTTTGGAGCCATGCTTCGCAGGAGTAAGCCGAAGCTTTTTCCTACTGGAGCGAAATATTTCGAAGCCCAGTCGGCAACGTGACGGCCCGGGAAAAGAGGCGACGGATAAAGGTATATGCAGCTTCTTCCAGGCTTGTTTCTGTAGTGGTGATTGGGAGTAGATTGATTATCTCTGTGTGAAGCGGAGAATGAAGATTCTTAAGGATAGAAGTTAGCCAATTCATCTAGGGAGAAGCGTGGTGCTCGATTAGGGTCGGCTACTTTCGTAATGGGCTGCAAAGTAAGAAGATGTGCAAGGTAGAGAATTGGTCTAGTCTGGTGCGAAAATTGACGAAGTACTTCACACATGAACGACTAGGTACCCTGCACGCAAGTAGCCTCTTGCGGCGAGTTCGGCAGTCGGGAGGAGGTATGATCCGGCTATGTCTTCGCCTCGAGCGTCTGTCCCATTGCGTAGGTGGAGCAACAAGGTATCGAAGTCCTTGGTCGTGTATCCCTGCCCACTTGCCCTGTTGATGGTAAGGGAATCAGATGGATGCCGTTATGTATGTGGTATGATAGACTTTGCTAGTTTCTCAAGTTTTTGCCCTTCTTTTGGCACCCAGTAGGCCAGTGTGGCTGACGAGATGGCCATCCTTGGTCTCGAAAGTTATTCTTGTTCCACAAGTAGTTCAAAAGCATTCAACTTAAGAGCTTCCCTGCTATTTCTATTCTGATTCGTCATGTTTTGAAGTAAGTATATAGATCTTATTAACCTCAACAAGTTCGCCTTCACGGACTGCAGATTGCCGCTTCGCCCTTTGTGTTGTTTGAGGACCTTCTCTTGGACTCGAAGGGCAGACGCCTGGCCACTTAGGTAGAGCAACCCGTCCACGGTTGTGAATTCGTGGTCTCCTGGTGCAGTGTAGGTTCCCGCTTTGCCCAATGCCTTTCGAAAGGCCGATCTTGCCGTTTCTTCAACGAGGCGAGAGGAGGCGGCGATGCTCCCATAAAGGCACTCACTGCGACTTGTTCCTCCTTGGCTTCTGTGTGTCTCCGTGACCAGATTGCGTGCAGCTTCATAGCCATGCCAGAGCGACTTGGCTCCGAAGTCAATGGTAGAGTAATCTCTCGCTCGATGAATATTGAGCACGAAGATGGACCTGGGCTTCATTTTGCTCACACCGAGCAGGAGCATGCGGTGATACTTGTTGCGGCTGTGAGTGGCGCAGTGCTTCAACGCCCGACGAAATGCAGCAAAGTCATTGCTCATATTCGTTTTCAGCTGTGCCGACAAGTAGCCACCGGCCCGCGCCTGACGTGGTCGGATGGCTGCGTCTGCACTTGCTTCTGACAGCCAAGACACTTCGATGGAGGGTCCTAGTGCATTCTCGAGACGCCTTCTTCCCCATGCCTCCACCTTGCGTGTAGTGGTCTGTCGAGCCTTGCCCATCGTCTTCTTCGATCGTGGCTTTTTTCAATGCTGCCATCGTCTCTATTCTTGTGTCCAATGTGGACAGCTGATGGCCCCGGTCTACTTGCTTCTTCTGTACTCTCCAGAGAGACGCGGATCCGCATGCGCCTGCTTGCGACGGTCAATCAAGGCGTCGCCGTGAACATTATAGGAAGCTTCTACTGTGATTATGATGTCCTTCCTAGGAGTTATGGACTTGAATTCTCGTGACTATATATCAACTGACTAAACTCTTACTCCTACAGGTGGAACCAGTGCAATGGCATTCGGGTGAAAGGTGGTTTTCCTGCTTTAAGTTGCGATGGTTGGTAGAGCGATATATTCGAGCATGAGCGAAATGCGTTGACGATGTTAGCCGATTCATAATGATGCTCGATTGCCGACGACTCTGGGACAAGTTTGGTTCTCGTGAGAGCTACTTGCAATCAGGTAGTCCCCATATCTCTCGTCGGTTATCCTCGTGGCTCTACCATACAGCCTCATAGTGGCTCCATCGACGCGATTAGAAAGATCTGCTCACTCGTTCTCTCATTCTTCTGAACAACATTGCAATTGATTGGCTACGGGCTCGGATCTTGTTTCTCTTTCCTACATCATCAGATACCAAGCTGCATCAGAACTCTCATCACAGGTCTTAACGTGCGGTGGCTTGCACCATCCGAGTATCGCCTGGCCACGCTGGTGCTTTCTGCTTGCCTCCTTAAGGTGTCGCCACCGTTTTGACCCGGGACATCACAAAGAGCAACAAAAGGTTGTCATGTATCTCAGCAGGATGCGCCAGCTGTCTTTCTGAAGCCCACGCTCCCGCTGCCTGCAATCTCCAGCTGCCGCGATCCTTCCAGACCACTTGCCTCCTTACTAGCTAATTTAACTAGCTACTTAACCTACAGTTACTTAACTACCTAGTGAATTCCCAAAAAAAATTTTTTTTTCAGAACAGGTTCACATCGATCCCCATGTGCAAAATCCCCATTCCATATGCAATATACTCTGTCTAGGATTGCTCAACTGATGACAGCGCATACTCTCCTCCGTGTAATTAGCCTCTACCCTGATAATGTTCCGACGGCTCAGGTTCTATCTGTTGACCAGTGTAGTTCTTGTTAGACATTATGATGAAGAGTAACTTACAACCTGTTTGAAGCAGGTTGCTACTTCAAGATGAATGGACCACTATATGTATATGTATGAAAATATCGTCTAATGCTTCCAGTTTCCCAACGTACCAAACGTGGAAAGAGTTACAAGATTGGGGTTTGTGACATTATGGTCACTTCGCAGGGATTGGTGCAATTGGATGCTCATCCGTGTCGGTACTGGCTGATCATTCTTGGCAGTTCGTAGAAGTATATTAAGTGAAGAAGATGCTCTGCTATTATTTGCACGCTTGCGAAGACCCACATATTAAGCCTTAGGATGCAGATTTTTGGTAAGGACTAAAAACAAATGAGATGATCCTAGGCGGACGCAGATGATGAAGAACAAACACGACTACAGTTCTTCAGATTCTAGCACATGCACTTGTTCACGACAATAATTATGAACATCGATCCATCCACCCACGAACATCGATTCCATCGCCAAAATAAACCACAGCTGGACTTGTGGATGATCAGCCGGAAAACTGCAAGAACAGTGACGCCGAATCGCAGGTTGAAGCTCCTCCTCCTCAGGTTGTGGAGCCAGAAGCAGAAGCAGAAGGTATCTACATACTTCTTCTACTACAAGTCAGGTGCTTATAACTGAACAAAGTTCAACATTAAGACTGAGTCTAAGATACGACTGAAAAATATTTTTCAAAACAGTAACCTAATAATTACTACGGATCACAGACACTTGATTATGTCACCAGGGCACGCGCACGCAGAAGCAAAACTACCGCAAGCGGCTGACCCGGCAACTGCCACGCCAAACGACCCGGAGCACGAGGACGGCGCGCAAGAGGAGGCACAAGTGGCAGATCCGAAACAACTTAAGCTTAGTAGGACCTCCGCTATCTGTTTCCTCTTGACCTTACTTTTCCTAGTTTTTCTTATACTTCCTTACCTTTGATGGCCTATTTCATCAATGTGGGAAAGCGAAGGGGCAGAAGTCTTCTCCCGCTGGTGCTAACAATTATAAACTTAGGAAGTCAAGGTCAACAACATTGGTCACGATTAACAAGAACAGCTACCTGGGAATTTTTCTTTTGGGAAGTTAGTTTTTTTTTCAAGTAAATGGGGCAGGCTCTATCGCTTTTTGTCGTGAGCAACGAACTCCTACAAATTTTTGAATGATAGAGTTAAATGAGTCACTAGAAGATGAACGTGATCGAAAAAAGCTCTAAAACACAGCCCGCGCCTCGCGCGGAAGAAGTTGCAACGGGAGGAGAGAACAGAGTGCCTGCGGTGGAAACTTCGTCGGCAGACGGAGCCCCTGCGGCGCCACAAGGTAAAGGTATCTACAAGTCAACTAATAACTAGTGAATCACATCCAACTTCTGGCAATTGCATCAAAGAGCTACTAGATAATGAGTATGATGGAGATTATCTCACTTTCCAACAACAAGCTACCAACCATTACAACTCTCAAGTAAAAATTCTAATGGTAGGTAGCCGTAGCTTGGTCAAAAGGCTAACAAGGTTACTACCACCATGATGCAACTAAAAATTCTAATTCGTCATATCTTCATGACCCAAAATCAGAACCGCCAGTACCAGAAGCGGCTCCCCAGGTTGCGGAGGGGATGGTGGGTGCCACGGCTGTCACACAAAAGGGGAATCAAGACGAAACAGAAATGGCAACCAAGGCAGGGCAAGTTAAGGCCACTGCCGTCCCAACCCTAGTATTAGTTTCCACATGAAGATACTAGGCGGACCCTTTCGCACCCGCCTTTTTCTGGTTTGATATCAGTCCTTCCTACACCTACGAACAAGAAGTCTATAATTCCTACCATCGCTCACACCGAACCAACTAGAAACGTTTATTCAAAATGAGGCTCCCTCATGCTCATGTCGAAACGTTCACGACTCTTAGAAGAATCAAGAGCAGCTCTAAAAAACAGCATGCTGCTCGCGTGGGATCGAAAGGAGGAGCGGGCAAAAGTTCCTGCACCAGTTGCAACTGAGAAAGCTACTTGTTGTGCTTAAAAGTTCCTAATCTCATTTGACGATAAAAATTAGAATAAGTAAGAACTTCTCTGAGCAGTAGTTCTAGTACTAGTCTCGTTTCCTTGTCTTTGTCCTTGTGTGGGTGTACAGATATTTTTAGCCACCATGATAGCCACGAAGTAGAAGATCATCATTCTGTCTCATAATCTTAGTAGTAGTTCTCGAAGACTGACAGAAGACAGACAGAAACTGCTAGACGATGAGTTTAAGTGCATAAGTAGGTAGTTCTGATACTAGATGTCCGATGTAGTTGATGCTCATAATCATAATGTAAGACGAGAAAATATTGCATGACAGTTGATTTCGATTTCCCTTTCCGTGCCCTGGCGCCGTCATCTACTCAACATTTATAACAGATCAAGATCATTCAGTATTTATAAAATGTCATAAATTTTCTTTCTCGTAGTGGCTACACCCATCAAAGTTTTCCTGCTATGATCCCTTGGACGAAGAGCATGTCATGTCACTGTCAGCATATTGCATAAGATCACGCACGATTCACATTCATCCATCATGACCAAGTAATTCTTAACGAGGCGAGCCGACTCCTATCCTATCCTTAATATCCTTGTACGTCATAGTAGGTATCATAATTTCCAACGTTGGTTGATCTATTTGAAGTACTAGGTAGTAAGTAGACGGTCTTCTATATATGGAGGTAGGAGTAGGTCTGCAGGAGCGCATTTCCCTTCCCAGGTCCAGGACTCATATTTAAATAGATTTCAATTTCAGCATAATCATGATCTCCCGCCCAAGTTTTCTTTCCTAATCGATTGATTCATCCCATCCCAGGTGTTTGCTTTCGCTTTCCTAGCAGTCACCTACGACCACGTAGCAAGCATGAACTGGTTTCCAGAATAGAAGAATTTTTCATAATATCCCTGCATCATGCATCTACTAGATCTAGATCTACTAGTCTAAGTCTGTAGATTCTACAAGCCAGGTTTTTAGTTGTAAGAACCTGGCTGCTGGCTTGTTTTTATTGTTCTTCCTTGTTTCAGAGGTGGATGAAGTAGCACTGGAGAGGGAGTAGAGAGCCACAACTTGTACTGATAGATACTATTGGAGGATCGATGAAAAATTGGTATCGTATTCTCTCGAACACCATCTTCAAGCCTATATGCTTACCTTGCCACAGGTGAGCTAACTCCTATCCTATCCTACCACCTTTGTTAAGACAAAGTAAGACAACTAAGACTAAGAGCGGTGTGAGGCTAGGTGACGAATTATCATAGCGCACGGAATTCTTATTTGTGGCACCGACTCCGACCCGAGGACTCACTTAGTAGAAGACCAGCTTGCAACCTGAGCCTGACCCGGCCCCGGTAGTACAAGAACGTAATATCGCCTCCTTGCTTCTGCAGAAGATGCACAAGTAGACTTCGACTTCTAGTACTCAAGATCTCGCGGCGACCTTCTAATCTCGCGACCTTCTTCTTTCATTCTGTAGACGTAGTCGTAGTTGACTTGATCGTGGTGGAGGGTCTTCTACTTCTAAGATTCCCCTTCTTCCACGGGGTGATGGTAGGGCCATGTATCGGATACAGGAGGCTTTGGCAGCTGGCGCCATTCCTGTGCTGATTTCTGACGGCGTCTCCCTACCCTACGAGGATCTATTAGGTATGCCCTCAGGAGGACAAGGAAGCGTGGAGGTACAGGTAGAGGAACACGAAGAAGTAGGAAGCACCTACCAGTACCACCGAGCATACTCTTTTAAGAAAGTGATATAGTTTAATATCACAGGCTAGCGCAGGGATGACGACATCCCTGCGCTGCTGTTAAGTTTATTAAGTCACTCCGGGCTGTCTCGTGTAAGTATAAGGTCTAGACTTAGAAAACAAGGCCGCCAGGCTCTGACATACTGGCAAAGTGCATGACTTTAAGGAAAAAGGGGAAGAAGAGGGAGGAGGGAAATACTGCAGAGACAGGAAGGGATAAACTTACCCGCTACTTTCTGGAAGCGGCCAACGATTGGCAGCAAGAACGTGGGTCCGAACTGAAGGGAGTTATACTTACAGAAGTGCGCTGCTTTGGCGACAAGCGTCGCGCGTGAAAGTATCGCCAAAGGGCTGCACGCGTCAGAGCAGGGAGCCTTCGCACGAATCAACTGAAAAGAACCCAGGCGGCGCGACCTGACTGCACGCGACGCGCGTGAGAGATAT